GGTCATGATCATAATCATGAAATTTAGTATATTTCCAAGTTATTATTTTAACATGATCCTTAACATCCTTTCCATTCTTATATGATAAACCTCCCACTAAGAAATGCCTAATTATTTATTTGTAAAATATATAATGGATGCCCATTTTACCTCAAGGTAACTCTTGTTGGTACACAGTTATGAACAGTGGTCTAATGAGTCCTTCTGTTCTAAAAAAAATGGTAAGATAACATCTGCACCATTTCTACATTATTTTCATAGTGTACAATATCTTCTATAATGCAATATCTTGTATTGTAAAAAGTACAATATTGTTTCCTAGGCATGAAAAACCAAAGGTACAAATACAAATTAGGTGAAACCTGGTTCAAAAACCATAACTGTGAGAGGGATCTTGGAGTGCTAGTAGACAATCACTTAAATATGAGCCAGCAATATGCAGCAGCAGCCAAAAAAGCTAATACAATTCTTGGTTATATAAATAGAGACATAGAATCAAAATCACATGAAGTATTAGTACCACTTTATAAATCCTTAGTAAGACCATACCTGGAATACCTCATCCAATTTTGGTCACATTATAAAAAAGATGTTGAGACTTTGGAAAAAATGCAAACAAGAGAAAGTAAGATGATTAAAGGCCTGGAAACTAAACATATGAAGAACAGTTGCAGGAATTGGATATGGATAGTCTAGAGCAGGGGCGTCAAACTGCTGGCCTGCAGGCCGAATGCATAATGGCAAAACTGTGCCACCTGATTGCCGGCAATGTAAAAAAAGTCACGATACATATGACACGTCACATGATGTTGCAAGTTTGATACTCCTGGTCTAGAGAAAAGAAAGATTGGGGTGACAAGATAGCAGTATGTGTGTGTGCCTGTTGTGTGCTTATATGCATTAATAACAATGGGTGTTATGGAACATGCACAATTTTTATATTTTTCTCTATTTTCAAAGATTAAAAAATAAACAATTTAAGATAGAATGAGGCAAACTCCATAAACATGGTGACACCAAGTTTTACATGTTTTCCTTGTGGTATTTTTTGTAATTTTATAATGTCAGTGTTAATACTTAGGGATACTTTGTTTACTTCTTAGTTATCATAAGTTAATCACCAGCACTCCAGAATGATTTAGCACTTCCATACTATGGGGGGGGGGAATAAAAATTGTAAATAAACATACTGTAAGTGTTAAAAAGAGAGGGAAACCCACCACATTTGCTTATTACTCTCATAAATAGAGAAATATGACATATATTGTGAGCTAGTTAAGCTATTCTGATAATAAAGGGGAAAGTAATTTTTAGTAGTCACAGAAAATCCAAATTCAGGACAATACTACTACGTTCCAGGATGCAGTAATATATCAAGGAACACCACAATGTATAGTTTAAATTAGAAACTCATTGAAAGTATTGGGCTTAATAGATCATTGCATTGTTTTTACTTCCATATGGTTCTCTAAAATTTCTCTATTTTGTTTGTGGATGTTCATATTTACATACTACATAAAATTACGTATTGACAAAGATGCTCAACTGATGAACTTAAACCAGGAATCCAGAAAACTGAACTAACCACACAACAAGATTAATAGAAAAATAAATAGACCCAAATTGATTCCCAGGGAGCAACTATTAGCAGAGAAACTGCAGAATCAGAATAGAACCCAGCTAGTTGTCACTTGTAGCTCACAGCTCAAAGACTTGATTAATAAGGTTCAGCCATATGACACTCAATGGAGAAGAGCCTAATGCTGGGAAAGATTGAGGGCAATTTAAGAAGGGGACGACAGAGAATGAGGTGGCTGGATAGAGTCACTGAAGTAGTAGGTGTGAGCTTAAATGGACTCCAGAAGATGGTAGAGGACAGGAAGGCCTGGAGGAACGTTGTCCTTGGGGTCGTAATGGGTCGGACATGACTTCGCAACTAACAACAGCAAATATGACACTTCACTTTTTCAGACACTGAAGGAAGGACCATACTTCCACCTACCTTGCAGCATACTATAGATGCTGGATAACAATATTATTTTTTCAAAAATTTTGCATCCTGAAAACCTTTTGATGTTTATGATAGACTCCTTCAAACTGAACACAAATATAATTTCAGAATGCCTGTATCACGTGGAAATCTTGAGAAATATGAAATAAGATTTCAATGACTGTTATGTATTTAGTTGCATAATATTTCCAACATGATGTATACATTCAAAAGAGCTAAAAGTATTTTCCTGCTGATTTTCATTTATATTCAGTGTCCAATGCATCTCACTGCAGTGTCCAACAATAATCAGCCAGCATAAATGGATTCTAGTTGCCCTGATTCTATTTTTCCATTGTGACATTATTCTGATAAAAACTTTCAACATGTTCATCACTGACTGCACCTAGATTTTCAGAAAGGAGGTCCAAGTGTGAATGCAGAAAATAAATTTTCAGTGACATGTTGTACTTCGTGATTTTGTATGCTGTCAACCAGCTGAATGTAGTTTGGTGCTCTGTAGTTGCCAAGAAAATTCTCAGTGATATCCTTGAATGCTTTCCAGGAGATCTTCTCTGGCCCCACTAACAGATCTTCAAACTGCTTGTCATTGATGATATATCTGATCTGTGGACCAACAAAAATGCCTTCCTTAATCTTGTCATCAGTTATTTTTGAAAATATTTGTCTTAAATAATGAAAACTTTCATCTTCTTTGTTCATCACTTTCACAAAATGTTTCATCAGCCCAAGTTTTATGTGAAGCGTAGGCAAAAATAACTTAGTCCGGTCAAACAAGTGGTTCATGTACCACATTTTTCTGTCCAGGAACCAAATTCTTTTAGAGTGGCCATTTCTTTTGAATGTAATGTGACTCGAGTGAATGGTTGTCCCATTCGAATAAGTAACAAAAGTACTTGGTATATCCAAACTTCAATCCGAGAAGCAGAACCACTACTTTTAGATCTCCACAGATGTTGCAGTTGTATTTGATATACTGGATATGCTTCAACAACAGTTCCATTATTTCATACGTGCAGCATAGCCATAGGGCTTACATTATCATTGTGTAAAAACAGAAGATTTCTATAAACAGTACATGATAGGTTAAATTACAGGTTATTTTTGTGATTAGTAGCTAAAAATATGTAAGATATAGTCAAAAGTGTTCAGGAAGCAAAATCTTTGTTGTCCTGTGTAAGCACTCAACATTTGTATAAGCAGAAAAAAAAAAAAAAACAGTAGGACAATGATGCCAACTTTAGAACCAGACCTTATTTAGAAAATATTGAAGATTCTGAATCCTAACTAACTTAAAAGAAGGACTTCTTAGCACACACACACACACACACACACACACACACACACACACTACAGTTGTATCGGAACAAAAGTTAATGAGTTAAATAGAGGATAGTTTTTTAGTAAAAATATTATCAGTAAACTTTAGTTTTCACACTTCCTTTACCTGTATGACTAACAAAACCAAGAATTCTGGGTTTGGAACTTTAAGAAAAAGAAAAACTAAAAACAAACCTATAAAGTAGATCTGCTTTGGAAACATGCTATTTTTTTAAAAAAACAAAATGCTCCCAATTGTATCTCACATAACAGAAGAAAAATACCATATTTTCCGGCATATAAGACGACTTTCTAAAGCATGCAAATCGGCTCCGAAGTCGGGGGTCGTCTTATATGCCAGAAATTACGGTAGTTTCCAGCATATAAGATGACTTTCTAGGCATGCAAATCAGCTCCGAAGTCGGGGTCATCTTATACGCCGAGTCGTCTAATATGCCGGAAAATATGGTATTAACTTTATTAGAACAAATAATTGTTTTGAAGAAAGAGAGCACTTTTTTGGTGAGAACAGCATAGTGAAAAGAATTAATGCCAATATCCTTCAATCTTGATTACATGTCTGAGCTGAGTGTCTACTACTGCTATTTTTTAAAATGAAAAAAAAAAACAACAACAACACATTGCATGTGTCTAGAGAGACAGATTCAAAATAGCAGAGTTGAGGGATAAGTCATTCCTTCAAAAACTAATTAATAACAGACAATTTAGACTTATTGTAGTTGTTAATGATTATGATGATTTTTGTTTATGTGTGTGTATGTGTCTGCATTCTCATTGTACCACATGATACCTTATTATTTGTTAGGTTAAAAAGCAGAGGAGGAAAAGGAAGACACATTCCAATGAGACTCAAAGCTTTCTAAGAGAGCTAATCCATCTAATGGTTTTCCAGTTGCCTCATCTACACTATGCTGAACTGTTTGGAAGAAGATAGAATAAAAACATATGAAATTATAAAATGAAAATGACAAGTGCCTTTAAAAAAAAATAAAAGTGACAAGTTGGTACTTTGAACAAATTTTCTCATAACTTTTCTCCTGATGGTAGAAGGAAATCTACCATCAGGAGCATTGCAAAAATACAAATATTTATTTTAACAGAACAGTTAATATTATATATTTAATTGTGTAAAAGCTACCCATACATTACAAATCTACAGTAATTATTGCATGTAACAAAGGTTGATAACACTATCTTATTTTTTAGATTTATATCCCAATTTTATATATGCAACTCAAGGTAGTGAACATATCTAATACTTCTTCCTCCTTTATTCTCCCCACAACAACCCTGTGAGATGATTTGAGCTGAGAGAGAGTGACTGACTCAAAGTCACCAACTGGCTTTGAGGCCTAACGTAAGCTTAGAATGCACCGTTTCCATCAAGTTAACCACTGCACCAAACTGGCTTTCTCTTTTCTATTTACACTGACTGTTATTTTCACAAAATAATGTACTGATATTGGAAATTACGTTTAAGCATTTTCTTTAAGATTCTCTCTTTTCTAGTATTGAAAGGAATTAAGAAGCAATCTCATAAACACAATAGGTATTAATAATAGTTCTTAGGATTTTGTGTTAAGCATTGTTCATAGCTTTTTTGTAACTCTATTTCTCCCCCTTTCCCTCTCAAGTTAATGCCACTTACTTGTATATGTGAGATGAAAACCTTGGTCTGTATCTGATCCATTACTGTTAAATTCTATCCATAAATGATTAGATGTGCTATTAAGAATGAGTTCTAGCAATTCCATTTTTGTAAAAGTTCCCAACAAACGTGATGAACTGTCTTTTCCATCATACACCTATAAAATAAAATACAATACAGTTTAACACTTTAAAAAAACTTATTTTAAAGCTTCATGTTCATGTACAATTAACTAAAAATCATCAACATTTCCAAACAAAACATAAGAAAAGAGAACAATCCTTTTAATTGCTTGCCATATACTGGCTATGCAGTTCATTTACATGATAACATACTACTTCCCATCCAGCCATTTTTTAAATAAAACAAGTTTGTATTTATGGCTTAGTTCCTTGACATTTATCAACTCCATCTCGTTCTGTCTTCAGAATCCATTTGGAGTTTTTGTTTCAAAAGTTTGAAAGTGCTTCATGGCATTTCTGTGAAGATGCTTTTTCTAAGCACATTGATGTGTGTGTGTGTGGGGGGGGGGAATAACATACACTAGTCTGATCACTGCTAAATGAATTAAAAACAGGATTGAAGCAGCAACCCTGGCAAAAAGCACCAAATTTATTTTTAGTACTAGATTGAGAAACTTGAATTTATTTTTAATATTCTTAATTCATGATGTGCTTTTATAATGGCTAAAGTCACATAAAAGGAATGAAGACCTGAACATCTGCACAGTTATAGGGGGGATCTAAACTCCCAAACTAAGAACCATACTGACCTAAATGTTTCAATCATGTGCACATTTCCAAGATCATTACTTGAAATGGCCAATTTCTCTGTGCACTGATTAAACATTTTTAAATACTTCTTAATTTCAGTTGCAAGAACATGAAATAGAAAAGTACTGAATGATATAACTAAATCTATCTATAGTTCCATTTTGATCTTCATTGGACAATTGAAGCTGGTTTATATTATTAGCAGGATGGAAAGACACTTTGGATATGTTTGTACAATTTGATATCTTTATTATCATCCAAATTTTGAACTAAATTTTATGCCTTCCTTTGGAGGAAAGGGTCTAGAGTCTAAATCCTATTACTGCAAAAGTCCACACACCCAAATCCAGAGAGTAAGAGAGAGACAGAAAATAATATATACATGAACTACTTTTGAAGTTATTCTTTGAAAAATTAGTCCATAAATAGGAACAATGTTAAAATAGCTTTATGCAGCTGAATAAAAACAAATTATCACACACTATTAAAATAGCATTAGGAATGAATGAAGTATAGCATGATGTTTCTCCTCATAATTTATTCATATTATGTTTAATAAATTTCCTTCCAGCTATACATTTATTTGAGGTAGGTCCCAATGAGCCACGTCTACCTTTAGATATCTGTGTATTGTTTTGTTGTGTAGTCTGTTTCATTTTTTATACTTATATTCATATATAATTTCTGTGCCATTTCCTCATTATTCTGAACAGAAATTGTTCAAAATTTGCATTTAGCAATCTTTTAAAATGTTCTTTAAAAAAGAAACATTTAAAAAAAAGAAAAGTGAAAACTGAAACATTCAGACCATGTGAAAGTTAATGTGTATTTTACTTATACCTCTAATTTAGGAGACTGGATGCTACAAAATATAAACAACGATTGCAGGAATCAGGTATGTCCAGTTTAATTAAAAGAAGCACAAGGGGGTGACAGGACAGCAGTGTTCCAATATTTCAGGGGCTGCCACCAAGAAAAATGAATTAACTTATTCTCCAAAATGCCTGAAGGCAGGACAAGAAGCAACGGATGAAAACTAATCAAGTAGAGAAGCAACCTAGAACTAAGAAGAAATTTCCTGACAGAATAATTAATCAGTGGGATGACTTGTGTCCAGAAGTTGTGGGTTCTCCAACACTGGAGGTTTTTAAAAAGAGATTGGAGAACCATTTGTCTGAAATGGTTTATATTTAATAAAACATACAAGATAAGTCTAAAACAATAAAAACACCCCAAATTTCTGAAGTTACCAGAACAAACAAATGCTATCAGCTCCATATTGTTAAAATATAATTAAATTATAATTAACCTAACTTTACCTATCACACACTGTATTTCAAATGAAAATCAGAGAATTAGACATCAGCCAATACTAGTAGGAAAACATCTACCACCAAAGGCTACGCAGAACAATTTAATTGATAACATTTTCTGGTATGCCAATACACTGTGGCTAGTATGATGTTTGGAACAATTTTGGAACCATTATAGAAAACAGTGCCAGAATTCTTGCTTTGCCTCATAAATATATGAGATTCTCAAGAACTTTTCCTGCAGTGAATGTACTGGACAAGTTCTAAACAGATAACTCGGTGGTTCTGTAGGTACTTTAGTGGCAAGCCATAAAGGTGCATTATATCCACTCCTCATTTAGTGGACAAGTTTCATTCCAATAACCAGTGATGGGATTCAAATACCTGAACAACTGGTTCTCTTATTGGATGCAGGCCTGGGCCTCCGAGGCCTAGAACGGACTTCCGGAATTGGCATCCATGCACTCCGGTGAGCCGTTCTAGGCCTGGGAGGCTTCCTCCCGGCCTCCGAGGCCTAGAACGGACTTCCAGAAGTGGCATCCATGCACTTCCGGTGGGCTGTTCTAGGCCTGGGAGGCTTCCTCCAGACCTCCGAGGCCTAGACTGGACTTCCGGAAGCAGTGTGCATTCAGCCGGTTCTCCGAACTCAGCAAAATTTAGCTAGCGGTTCTGCCGAACCGGTGCAAACCAGCTGGATCCCACCACTGCCAATAACCATTTCCAAGTGAAATGGTCACTAAGTGAAAGAGGGAGAGGAGGGGAGAGAGAAAGAGAGAGAGAGACCTCAAAGATCACTGGTTGCTGCCATCTTATTCAGATAAAGTTTTGTTGTTTCCCTATACCAGTATTACTGTCACTGATTGTTGCAGATACATTAAATTTGTAAATGAATGATGATTGGAAAATGGATTTAGTACCATCATATTTGCAAATGGTTGCAAACCAAGGTAATTGCTAAATGTGGAGAGAGTGTATAGAATTACAACAGATACTTTGATTTGCACTTTGAAACCTATTGGCAGCCAGCACAGTGTGATATGCTCTTGGTAATTAACACGTACTGGACCAAGGCTGCAACATTTTGTACCAGTTGCAGCTTCCAGGTGGTTTCCATTGCAGTAGTAGTAGTATGAGGACAAAACTTGGAATTACTCTTATCCTCAAATGTTAGAGCTACAACTAGCATACCGGCTAATGCACCCTTGATGATGGCTTTCTCCTTTACACCCCTGAATGCATATTCAAGTTCCAGTCTAGAGTTAGTCCAGGAGGTATAAATTTAATTATTAAAAGTATTTCTCTGCTCAATTCACCCCCCCAGAAAAAAAGATTTTAGACATCTTCAAAAGGTTAGGAAATAACAATTTAAAACATCACACAAATGGCCATGTCAGTTGGGCATGATAAAACACACTAAAACACTCTATCTTGTGTGTCAGATACTATTAATATTTAAAGCTTGGTTGGGAACAGTTTCAATACCATAATGGTCTTATGCTAATCTATGACTGTAATAAAGATGGTCAAGTCCAGCTGAGTCAGAGAGACTAACTCATCAACAAGGATAGCAAAGGAGAGGTAATTGATAGTGGACCAAAACAGACAGATCTCAGATAGAACTGAAAATCTGTTAGAATGTTATATGAAAAATATATAAAAACAAAGAATATTAGAGAGCTATAAAATGTTTAAAAAATAGGAGTTAGGTGGAATGGATAAACTTATGGGAGTAGTTCTAAAATATCAGAATATAAATGAATCAGTAAAAAAGAAAAAAAACGCGTAAGCTCAAGAAATCTGCAAGAAAGCTAGACCATTAGGAAGGGATAAAATCCACCATGGAAATCAGTGCAAGAAGTTTTGAATTAAGCCTTTCTATAATCCCAGTTATTAAAGTGATTTCACAGTTTCTTTTTTTGCTTTCCACTTTAAGGGGATTAGAGCTTATAGAAATGAAGGAAAGAAGGCCAGTCTTCAAAGATATCAGTGCAAATATTTTCAAGCTACACATACCCTTCAGGTTCCGATGCAGTTAGGACCAGAATATACAGTATGTTACTAAGGCATGTCTTAAATGGGATACCACATGGCTGCATCTCTTAATGACAGAAATTTGAGAAGTCTTAGTTGTTGTTGTGATCCAGAGATCATATGAGTTGCTAAGAAAGAAACCTATGCAACTGGAGTTCTAGGACAGCAGGCTGCCGGGCAAGAGCTATGGACAGGCCAGAGGTATGTTGTAAGGGTTCAAGAGCAGGCACTAATGTGTGCAGGCGGGCCAGCTATGCCACTACAGAGCATAGGATAGCAGGATTCCATGGGAGAAAAAGTGGTGGGAATGACTTGTGACCTTCCCTGCTGGCTTCCCCGTTGACTTTGCTTGTGGGAAAGTGGCAGGGAAAATTGCAAATAGTGATAATGTAACTATGATTCGCTGCAACATTGTAAAATCACAAGCTTGGCACCTGAAAACCCGGATTGTGATAATATAACTATGGTACACTGATGGCTGCATTTTTGCAGACCAGTTGTAAATTCTCATTATTCAATGCTGTCATTAATTTGAAAAGTTGCTGGGCAAATGGACATAACCCGAGGATTATCTGTACATGTTATTTTCATTTTAACAATGTTTCTATAATTTTCCCAGTAATCTTTTGATTGAGTTTCTCCAGTTCTACCATTTTTCAGTCTCCAGTAACTCTGCCTAATATATTAAAATACATATACAGTATATGTGCATTTCTCAACGGAGTAAAATATAGGCAAGGGGAAGGTGCTGCTTATAAGGATAAAAGACAGGGAGAGACATATTATTTACAATTACAAAAATTAACACTTGATTATAAGTAATAGTTGGGGTGGGGCAAATATATTAGAGAGGAGAATAAATAATTGAAGGAGGATCAAATAAGAGTGAAAATGAGAAAAATGACCTTGTATAAAACTGATCACATGACAACAAATCTGTATCTCTTTTTCTCACACAGATGCAGACCTGCAGCGATTCCTGAAATCCCATTCCTCTCCAGACTTTTCTAAATTTAGGTTTCCTGTCTTGACCCTAAATTTAAGCTGTCTCAGTCAACAACATGGATTTTTAATTTAGGCAAGAGGAGAAAAATATTGTATGACAGATGATGGAAAGTCAATAAATTTCTGTTTCTCAAATATAACAAGAAAGTCAGGCCAGAATAAGATTTACCCAGTTGGCTTGGGGCTACTAAGTCTCAGGAGTCTTGCTGTTGCAACAAAATGAGAGAAGGAAATACCTTGAGTATTTAACTATTTAATGTTTGCTTTTTCTATATTGGAATTTGAACAGTGTGTATATTGCATTGTACAGAATGACTTTAAAGTGCTTGCCCAGTTTTTTCACTTTGAAGCAAGTTATAAATATTGTAAATAAATAAATAAATAAAATAAAGCAAATATCAAATGTCAGTAGGACAAGGACTGAGAAGCTAGATTGTACAGTTATTTAAATTACTCTTTACATTTATTTTTTTTAACCTGGTACTCTCCAGATATATTGGGATAGTATATCTGAAGAGCATCAGATGTTCAAACTTTGGAGAAAGTTTGTCATATGTACTGTGCAATCCAAACATGGATACACTGAAGGTTAGAACGAGGCAAAGTCACAAATCAAACAAGTTAAAGTTAACTTGGATTTACAATAACAAATGTCTTAACATTTTCTTTCTTTAAGCCAAAGGATATTCAAGTGGGATTCCACAGATCACCAATTCAAGATTGACCCCAAAACTCAGATTGGACATTACAGAAGAAAACAATTCAAAGAAGCTTGATTTCAAGTACTAAAGCTCAGAAAATATGCTGAAATAGATTAGATGGGTTTTATTATTGGTGTATATGTGAATGTGTGATTCAAACATTTACCTTAACAGTATCACCATCATGAAGTTTAAAGGTTCTGGCTCTTAAGTGGATGCCTTTCCCAGGTTCAGTTTCAATTTTATAGATGCATTCATGGTTGTTGTCATAGTTAGATGGAAAATTTGGTGATAGCAATGTTCCTTCATTCCCAGATACACTTGCTCCACATTCAGCTAAATAAAACAGACATATTTATAAATAAAAAGAGATTAATTATCTGTTTCAAAGGTTTTTTATAAAAAAAACTTGAATATTTTCAAAATTATAAAATATCTTTTCTATATGTAAGAAAAGTATAAGTAAGTTAAGTATAAAATGCTATTTGCTAGTACTTTGCTTAGAACAAAATTATTTTTTACTATTTGACATACCCAACACCACTTTCTTATTAACAAGTTCCTATATTTAGACCAAAATTAATTGAATGTTTATATCTGGATAGTTTTTCCCTGTTATTTCTTTTCTTTTCCAACTGCATTTTGTTTCACTACGCTGTTTAAAGCAATGATATTAAGGAAATGTACACATAAAAGTAATATTAATGAATATTAATATTAATATATTAATGAATAATATTAATACAGGTAGTCCTTGACTTACAACCACAACTGAGCCCAAAATTTCTGTTGCTAAGCAAGACATTTGTTAAGTTAATTTTGCCTGATTTTATGACCTTTCTTGCCACAGTTGTTAACTGAATCACTGCAGTTAAGTCAGTAACACAATTGTTAAATGAATCTGGCTTCCCCATTGATTTTCCTTGTCAGAAGTTCTCAAAAGTTGATCACATGACCCCAGGACACTCATGATAAATATGTGTCAGTTGTCAAGCACCTGAATTTTGTTCATGTGACCATGGGGATGATGCAACGGTCCTAAGTGTGAAAAACAGTCATAGGTCACTTTTTTCATTGCTGTTGTAATTTTGAACAGGCACTAAATGAAGTGTTGTAAATTGAGGATTATGTATAATTGTTTCTCAGATTTCAAGAATAAGAAAACAAAGAGTGAAATATGATTTCCTTCTATTCAGTTTCCCAAAAATAGTGTAGAAAAAAAGCCGTTTAGATTCCCAAGAACAGTCTTTAAAGTACCGTATATTAGACATATATTATTATTAACTTACATTATTACAATATAACTTGAATAAGTTGAAGTGATTTAACTCAACTAATTATTAGCCATAACTAGGTAGCTTCAAAATGAATTCTTAGTTTGGCAGGGCCTCAACTCAGTTGGTAACAACTGCTTTTTCAACTGTAAAATAAATACTGTAAATAACATGTTCTTCTTCATTGGAATTGTGGGGTATGGATTTGTTTATATACATCTTACAGCTTATGTTTGCTTATAATAAGTCACTAAGCCAATAAAGTACAATACAATGAAAAAAATTATCATTTAGCAGTACAATAGCTTAAATGAGTGAATAAGAAATAATTTGCAATATACTAGTATCAATATGGTAAATGAACTAACATTAATTCTCAAAGGCCCTTCAGAAAAGCCATATCTTGGTAGCTTTTTGGAAGACTTAACATCATCCAGACCTCCAGGAAACATAATTCTATAAAATGGGGGCACCACAGGGAAACAGATTAAAGTTTGATTTAATGATGTATTGTTCCTATATACAAGCAAAATCAATACTTAATTTGAAGTAATGATACTTTTTAAATTTATTTTATGTCTGGACATACAATACAACAGGATATATTTCTGTTTGAAGAAACAATCTTATTTTCCGCAAATCTGATTTAATTTGGAGCAAATTTAGGAAATGAGAAAATAAGGTTTCTATATTGGAGTTAATAAAATTATTCATAAAGTTATTTATTTGTTTGTTTGTACCCCACCTTAATTATTTTTACAAATACCTCAAGGCAGCAAACATATCCAATATACCTTCCTTCTCCTATTTTTCCCACAACAGTAAGCCTGTGAGATGGGTTGGGTTAAGAGAGAATGGCTGGCCCCAGGTCACCCAGTTGGCTTTCATGACTAAGGTATGATTTGAACTCACTCTCTCTCCTGCTTTCTAGTCTGGTCCCTGAACCATTAGATCAAACTGGCTCTCAGTATCAAAATTATTATGCAATTTCAATTCCAAACATATGAAGGACTGAGAATGTATGGCAATAACGTAACTAATTACACAATTTTAATGAAATGTGGAATGAATTTATAATTTGCACAGTCCATATTCTGGACAGTCCCCAAATTAAGGCTCGTTCCATGCAGTGGTGAGATTCAAATATGTGAACAACCAGTTCTCTGTGTGGATGCTGCTTCCGGAAGTCCATTCTGGGCCTGGGCAACAAAAAATTAGCTACCGGTTCGGCCAAAGTGGTGCGAACTGGTTGAATCCCACCACTGGTTCCATGTTGCCTTCTGTAATTTCAAACTTATTAAGTTTGACTAATTCAGTAAGTTTGGTTACTCTGCTATTTACCAGGGAAGTATATCTAGTGGGACCAAGAAAAAGGGTCTTCTCTATGGCGGTTCCCTCCCTACGGAATATCAATCCCCTGGAAATAAGACTGGTACCACCTTAATATTTTTTCCAGAAGGCTATAAAGACATCATTCTGTCAGCGGGCCCAGCAACCTCAGGTTGACACAGACCTGATCAAGTGGCTGGTTTGATTGGTTTGTTCTGCCACAGGGGATAATGGGCTTATAGGCTTTTGTACTATGGATTTTTATTTTGTAAGCCATACAGAATCACTGCATGTGAATGGGGCAACAACGTAAATTTGTTTCATAACTAAATAATAAGTCTCTTTCATTGATAAATTCCAAAGATTCTTTTTTAGACAGAAACCGTTAAAATAAGGATTGATAAAAGATACAATAAGTATCTGGCATATGGATAATTAAAAGATTGACATGGTATGTACAGGAATTATTTTATTATTCTTTCATTTCATCATGCATGTTTAGATAAGAGGTTACCAGTTCATACTTAGTTCCTGTAATCTTATTAACTCTAAAAACATGACAGAAAAAAGCAACATGTGTTAATATCATATTTGGTAAAATTAACCTCAGAAATATGTTCTGACATTTTATACATTTTCATTTTTAGCACTGTGATTAATTTTGGTTTGGCTAGTCTAAAGAAAAGAAGAAATAGGGGTGGCATGATAGCAGTATTCCAGCATTTCAGGGGCTGCCACAAAGAAGAGGGGGTTGAATTATTCTCCAAAGCACCAGAGGGCAGGACAAGAAAAAGTGGTTGGAAACTGATTAAAGAGAGAAGCAAACTGGAATTAAGGAGAAACTTCCTAATAGTGAGGACAATTAACCATGGAACAGCTTGCCTTCAGAAGTTGTGGGCTCTCCATCACTGGAAGTTTTTAAGAAGAGACTGGACAGTCACTTGTCTGACATGATATAGGTTCTATTCTATTCTATTCTATTCTATTCTATTCTATTCTAGTCTAGTCTAGTCTAGTCTAGTCTAGTCTAGTCCAGTCCAGTCCAGTCCAGTCCAGTCCAGTCCAGTCTAGTCTAGTCTAACAAATTAAAAACTTTTGAAAGTACTAAGGAATTTATTTTGTAACCCTGAAAAACATGCTAATATTTCATAAAAGTAAAATTATTATTTATAATATATTTTATTAAATAAAATTTTAAGATAAAAGCAATTGAAATATTACAAATGTTACAAAGAAAATAAGGCAGAATAGTAAGTAAGCAAAGAGAAGATAGAAAGAAAAGATTATAAAGAGGCATTTTTGGACAGCAGTTTTAAATGGATTTATATTATCCTTCCTATAAGGTTACATCATAATTTCCTACTTCCATAAGCTACTTTTTTTAATCTTCAAGCCCATAAATCACAATTTCATTTTTTTCTTTTTTCTTTATCAAAAAGTCTATAAAGGGTTTCTAGTTACTAATAAATGTACCTACTGATCTTTCTCTAATCAAACAAGTTAATGTTGTCATCTCTGCTGGTTCGTCATCAACCAATCTTCCAATGTGGATATTTCAGAGTCTTTCCATTTTTGTGCATATAATACTGTAGTCTCACAGCAGTAATCATATTTAAACATTATCTTCCATGGTTCTTTTCATGAAAGTAAAATTAAATGCAAAGCTATGTACATCCAAAAGGATAAAATCACCATTATGTTTAGAAGTATTCCATTGAAACCGTAGAGGAGTACATGCTAACATATTTTTTTAAAAAATCCAATGACCTTAATTTTTTTTAAAGGACAGCAAGATAACACTGAGTTAGGATGAAAGGAGATATTCTTCATTGTTATTTGGCAGAATAGGCTATGCTTTTGAATCTTTTAGTTAAAAAGAGAAGGTATGTTTAAAATCGTATATCAACTGAGGGCTCTATGGTGGATTAATTGGTGTGTGGCACAAAAGAATTGTATTAGAATTAATTATTGCTTAGTAATGCAACTTCCTTCAAAGTCTCTTCATGGCTCATTCCTTCTTTTCAAGGACTTGATTACTCTGATTATCCATATTCAAGCCCTTGATTTCTAAATTAATTGAGGAACAGAAATTTGAAGTTTTCTTAGGTTCTAGTTTGACAATGAGCAGGCTTCACTTGTGAAACAACCATTAAAATGACTTATGCATGCACACATTTGTATAAGCCCACCATTATAATAATTTATTCAAAGGAGATCAAACAAAGCTGGGAGGAACAATAGATATGCCAACATCTAAGATACCTTAGAAGGTATTCCCTACTTACAAGAATTTCTAGTACTAGAAGATGAAATCAGATCAGTACTCTGGTAATTACCAAGCTGGAAGGCTACAGGAACTGATGGAATACCCACAGTAAGATGGATGATTAGGGACAAGGGCAATATAAAAAAGTAAAATCAGAGGCTGGGAAATTTAACTCCTGCTGACTTAAAGCAATCTCTGAATAGATGTTGATAATTGGCCAAATAGGAGAGAAAAGGTTTATGAAGCTAACATAGGCTTGTCAAACTCGCAACGTCACGTGACGTGTTGCAACGTATCGCAATTTTTTTTCCATTGCTGGTAATGGGGTGGGTGCGGTTTCAACATGACAAATCTGGCCCGCGGACCAGCAGTTTGACATCCCTGAGCTAACAGTTCTTGTTAATTAACTGATCAGAGTCCAAAATAGGTATGCAAAACCATACTTAACCCAGCACTCACATCCTCTT